TTGCTAATAAAGAGAAGAGGCTAAGGAGTAATTATCTCCTTTGTTAATGGGATGACTAGCAAAGATGAAGAAGAAGGTGAATGCAAAATAAGAGGCAGCAATTGTCCATCTTTAACTGAAAACAATAGAGCGGATAAATTGTAGATTGTTGTTCGTTAAAATATTGTTAAGTTTGAGTAGATTTTGATGGGTGAGAAACGGTCGTGTTATGTCCTAGCAGTTAGACCATGGGCTAATTGTTATGTATGATGTAATATAATGTTTTCCCTTTCTTTGTTATGTATATATTTTGTTTTCAGTTAACGCATGCACATATAGTCAAGCATACATTTTATTCCTTCTTTTCTTTGCTCAAATTAACGCAAAAAAATCTTTTAGTATTACCGGTAGCTTTCATTATGATGCTAATAAAATTTAAGCTAAATACCCTTAAATTTCTCTTCAAGACTCGATAAAATACTGGAATAAAGTCGTATTTACGCTCCCTCTAAGGCAATAAAGCTTCAAAGGTTTCTGCAGGTTTTTCAGGAAGTCTCCCGGAAGCGCTGAAAAACTGACGTTTCCACTAACTGTGTGTTATCAATACAAATTCGAGAGAAAACGTAGTTGTAAAGTGACTAGTTTGTGGAGCGTTTTTTCTTAAACTGCATATAAGAGAAGGAAAAATGCTATTTTCATCGAATATCTGTCGATTACATCCACAAGGAAGAGAGCCATAACCACAATAAGCACAGGCGTATTTATGGTAATTTGTGCTAACTGTGTTAACAGCTAGTGTGTAGAAGAACATTTAATGAATCCAAACCGGTGTTTCACTCCTCCTCGCACGCGCACAAAGACGTACAATGTGAATGTAGTCTAACATTACTTATTTGCTTTGGCTCTATTTTTTCCTTCTTTATCTCTTATTTTTCGTGCTTTTTACCCATAATAGCATATATCATTGACCATGTCGTTTTCATTTGATATAATGGTCTAGACCGCATGTGTATAGAATGACTGTTCTTATTTCTCTTTCTTAAATGACTAAAGTTTCAAACTTGGCTAAGCCTGTAGCAACAAATGTAAATGATAAAACTTAGGTAAAAAAAAAGTTGCATTTTACAGCTATAATCTGTTTTTTGTCAGCTAAAATCGATTACCGCAATACCACCAACTACTGAACTCATTCTAAAAGGGTCAATTAACCTTACCCCAGAACAAAACATCCTTATCGTAAATAATGTCCACAAATACATCGTTGACACTAAAAGATTCACTTAACATTCTTTACTTCTTGTGCTACTCTATCTATTGTTATATGTAGAGAGGAAAAGTTTTTTGTATATTACAATCCTCGTTAAATAAATTAATTAAACTATACAGAAACGAAAAAAACGTAAAGCCATAAAGAGAGGAAACTTCTCTTTTCATCTGGTGTAACTTACATATTTATAGAAAACATGGCGGTCAGCAACTGAGCTGGTGTTAGGATTAAGTAGTTATGAAAAGTTTTTTAGGTGATGTCATCTTGAAGGATGCAATTTTTTAATGGATCAACTTGTTCATTTTCAGTTATTGAAGGAATCAATATTAATCTTAAAAAGAACATTTTTTTCAAAAATCGTACTAACTCACGTGAATTCAGAAGGTGTAAAAAAACATTTTGTGGAACTTTGACATGGATTTATTTATAATACAGAGTTCTTTATTATTTTCCTTGTCTTAGTCTTTTAGGTTTACCATTTTTAGTTGGATTCTTTTCTAAAGATTTTATTATTGAAAATGTGTTAAAGAATAGCGTCACAATTTTGGAGTCTGTGTTTTTATCGATGATATTAGGGGCTAGTGTGTATTATTCTTTAAAATTACTTAATTTGCATGCTTGTGCCGAGTACTTCATGCCGTGTATAATTTCGTAATATAATTACTCCTTTTTTCCTTCCAATAATTTTTTTTCACGTTCTGTTATGTAGGTAATATGGGGTGTCTTATTTGTAAAATTTTCGTCATTTTTGTGGGTTTTTTATGAGTGTGTCATATGAATTACACTTCTAATCTTTCTCTAGAACGATAATTATAAAAGGAGGCGACGAAAAAGTTTTATTATCAAAAAGTGAGAAACGAGCTATTGTTAATATTCAAAATTAAAATGGGTTTATCGTCTTCAGTTGCTTCAGGGGCATCCGCTTCAAGTGCTTCGGTTGCGTCTAGTGCAAGTGCTTCGTCTGAGTCTGGTTCAAGTGCTTCGTCTGAGTCTGGTTCAAGTGCTTCGTCTGGGTCTGGTTCAAGTGCTTCGTCTGGGTCTGGTTCAAGTGCTTCGCCTAAGTCATCTTCATCATCTTCCGTATGGGATAATACTTTAAATCAAACATCACCAGATCTTGTCTGGTATAAAACAATAGAAAAGAAATTAGAAAAATGTGGTTTAATAAAAGATAAAATGAATGAAAGCGATCGTAAAAAATTAATTATTAGCCTTGGTGAAAAACGCTTCTTCAAAGAAAAATATCTGACATTAAATAAAGATTACAATGAAAATATATTACAAAAATTAAATGAAGAGATAACTCTAATGGACGATCTCCCTGAAAGTTTAAAACAAGATATAACTGATGATGAAAAATCAAAATATATTGATCGAATATTGGAGTATCGTAGAGATGCCAAAAGGTTTGATGTTCGAATGTTTTTATCAAAATTAAGCCGTCTAAGACCACATAAACTACTGTTCTTTTCAGAATATGGTACCGTTCATGCTGGTTTAGAAATAGACGGTGTTACTATAGAATGGGGGTGTGAAAGTCTTGTGCTACCAAATATTAATACAAGACGTATGTTAATATATGCACGAGTTAATTTCGAAAAAATGTTTCCAGACACAGTTTGGGGAAATGTAAAAGCATTAGTAAGACATCCACTTGATTATATTGCTAATGTTTATCAAATGATATATGATAGAATTCTAGCAATTGGCCACATAACACAAGATAAATTAGATAAAATTGAAAGTGTTTGTATTCATTATAATCGAAATATAACATATAATGTATTCAATAAAAATTGTCAAACATTTATGAAAAATATTTTAGATGCAATTGGATTAAAATTTGAACCCGAAGGTGAATTTAAAAAATTTATGGATCGAATAACATCAGGTGAAGAAGAAATTGGAAAATTTCAATATATATCAGCAGTATTTCAATCAAGAAATGAATTTGACCATTATGTTGATCAACACTGGCATTCTACTAGTAATCAATGGAATAAAAAAGTATTAATTTGTTATTCAGATATGATGGATGATATGTATAAACAAGGTGACAAAAAATGGGGGCCGATAGATGATGAAAGCAAATGGGCGGAAAGGATCGAAAGTGTTGCCTGAAACTATTGCTCGTTATTCGAAAAACAACAATATCAAGACATCCTATCCACTCTCCCAAGTTATTTTCTTTACTTACTTATATTTTGATTTATTTCCTCGACTGAAAGGAGGGTCATATGAAATAAAATGAGTTTGTGTCTGTCTGTGTCTTTATGACAGATCAAAGATCATAGTTCATAAAGCTGCAGTTGGTTTAAGCTTTATTGATAGAGAAAAATAACTAATAAGACATGCAATCGGTCCTAGGGCCATTACAGCATGTTATACAATTGTATAAAAAGTAGGTTAGCAGTATAAAAAAGAAAGGGAGAAAAGAGAAGAAGATCTTATAACAACAATAAAAAATAAAAAATAACAATAGTAATAATTAAGAGGCGGCAAAAGGAAGAAGAAGAAAAAAAAGAAAGAAAGAAAGAAAAGGATAAAAAAAATAATAATAGACCATATGATGTCAAGCGAATAAAAGGAAGAAGCTGCAGTTTAAAATTCAACCAGAGGTTTTCGACATCCAGCTCTCGATCAATAGAAATAGAGGTAGCGTGAGCCGGGGGTACCTGACGTGAGGGGGGAGAACACAGTGGACAGAAAATGGGATCAGGAGTAATTTCCAGGTGTCAGTTCGCTTTTGAATCGAGACCATGTGCATCATGTAGACCCTAATGTACTTTGAACATCCTGAAAAGAATTCGTGTCCCTAGCTTATTTTTGCCGAGATATTTAATTTTTACGGTATCTTTTTATCATAACACCGTAGTTCCCTTCAGGTTCACCTGGCAAGTGAACTTCTGAAGTTCGACTTGAAACTTTGCACAGGAAAAGGTCTAAATGAGACTAGTTTATTCTAAAAGTTTCAGATTTTTGGGTTCCTTCTATCCCAAGATACGACTATAAGAAATACATATTCCTTTTCCTTAGGTCCTAAACGCTTGTGTTTTAGAGGTACCTTATGCCCTCACCTTCTATATTTTGGAGGTACTTTTAGGCCCTCAAGTCCTATGGTATATGGGTACCCATAGGTCCTCAAGGTCTATACCGTGGGGAAACCCATAAGTCATCAAGACCTATATTATAACGGTACCCATAAGTCCTCAAGGTCTACTATGCATAGGTACCCATAGATCCTTATAGAATATAGCAAACGGGACAGCAATAGTACAGTACCCGACAAAAGTCCCGGTGCATATCGTAGAGACCCTTATTCTAATTCGATTTCGACCAAATTTTTATCGTACATACAGGTCGAGAAACTGTGATCATAGGCATCAGCCGCGCCCCGGTTGGCTTTATAGAAGCCGAATTATAGATCAAATAAGGTCTTTTCATTAAGTGATCCACATTTCATCATAAGACACATTTGAAAATCTGTCGATCCGTCATTTCTAAGCTCGGTATCATCCTATTCTGTGCTATGAGTTTTATTAAAAACTGACTGAGGACGATGATTGTGAGCCAGTTTTGATAAAGAGGCATGATTCTATGTGTAGTCACTCAATTTTTTTATCAGATATTATAAAAAGTGTTTATTGTGGAAACTTTGAACTTTGAACGGATCGACTACTGTATGATAGATGCCAATGATGATGTGTGATGGTATGCCGATTTTACACAATAAACCATCAGCTAACAAAAAACTTGTAGACTTATTAAATGAGCGTACATGACTAGCTAAACTGACAATTAGTCCAAAGAGAAAAATCATAGAAATATGATAGGCTAACAGCAATAAGAGGCAAAAATAGTTGATGAGTGAAGAGGAATAAAGATAAGACATGCCTTTATTTAATTTTATGCCTGCTCAAATATAATTATCAGTCTATCGAAAAATCCTGATTGGCTGAATACTGACCTCTCAAGCTCATTGATTGACCGCTGGACTTCAAATATATCTGAGCGACTTCCAGTCTCATGACCTTTGATCTTTGACCAAATCATCACAAGTAGAAAAATCAGTACATGGTGTAATCACCAGATGAATCGATTAGAGAGACAAGATTTATCTGCATATACTAGATCTTACAAAATATTTACAGCTTCTTTTTTTTGCATGTTTATTGTACTTCACCGTTTTATTAAATTGAGTTTTCTATATGTTATATGTCTTGCAGAGTAATGGTATTATGATAGGTCTTTTAGAAGAAAATCAGGAGGCTGAAGTTAATCTGTGGGCAGTTTTTTAGATGACATAAAACTGGCTCAACGACGAGATAAAGATCTTGGTCGTCGAAAAACTCTGCATCGATTATCAATTCGCTTCCATTGGGACGGAATGAGGCGTGCCGTTGCGCATTATGTAAGATCATGCGACCTGTGCCGACCTTTTAAGGCCGCAAACGAAAAGAAAGCAGGTTTATTGCAATCTCAGGTAGTACAGTCGCCTTGGCACACTATCGGCTTGCACTAGTGTTGCTTGTGAAGACAAGCAAACACATATTCAGAATCTATGATGAGTCCTCTATCGACTGCTAAAAATATTTCTAATTCTGCATTTCCTAAGCTGGGAAAAAATAACAATACATTTTTCTAGCGAGTTTTCCGAACAGGCGTATTCAGTGAAGTGCGCGTGCGAGGAGGAGTGAAACACCGGTTTGGATTCATTAAATGTTCTTCTACACACTAGCTGTTAACACAGTTAGCACAAATTACCATAAATACGCCTGTGCTTATTGTGGTTATGGCTCTCT